TTTCCATCTGCATGGCAGTCTTCTCTTTAATGTGTTAAAACTCCTTTTGAGTAAGGTCTAGGAAGGAGTATGGTATGAGCTCAAAGCATACAGAAACAATCGCTTTGCAATAAAAGAGCAGAGCTCATTAATCGGAGATGATTTAGGCACTAAGAACACATATGTTCTTGCACTGCTGTGGCATAACAAGACTTGTCATACTGTACAAATACTTGTTTAGCATTTGAACAACTGTTGTTTGAAGTGGAGAAATAACAATACTTTCGGGTCATTAAATAACATAACTGAGAAACAGAGTAGGTGCCCTGTTGAGTTTTAGTGAGCTATCTTGTGTGATGCAATATATGCAGAAATCCAAACAGAACAAAGAGTAGTATTGATCAAAATTTGCTTTCAGCCGTGTGGTGATGTGTCTCACACCTCATCACCGTCAGCATTTACAGACTTTACAGTATTTGGAAATGGACATCCTATATATTAGCAACATATTAATCTCTGCAGCCAAGTCTATTGGATTTGACTAGAGTTGGTCCTGCAACATAGGATGTATTGACATATGCACCTGTGTAATGTTTGTTCTCTGCACTTAGTAATAACATACTGCAGCAGCAATTTGAGGAAAAAAAATAGATTGGATACAAATGCAAAAAGATGAACTGCCTGTGTATTAATTGGCTTAAATCAGTTTGAAAGTAAGGAAAGAAACCAAACCAAATGTATAAATTTAATTTATTAAATACAGTACAGTTTATTTTTTAGCAGTTCTATATTTCAGAAAGCAATGGTCTGAGACACTGAATCAGATGAGAGCTTAACAAGGCTATGAGAAAATGTTTCAGCTATGGTATTAAAATTACTATTACAGAGAGAGAGACTGGAAGTTCCTGGCTCAGATACCAACACATGAACATATGGGTTGAACTAGAAATTGTAAGAGAGAATTATTTTACTTCCATCCACTTCACTAGACTTACACCAAACTTAATATGACACGGAACCTCTTCTTAGAAAGGAAGATTGGGATAGCCATGTAATCTGCCTCTGAGGATCTGTACATGCAGAGTGCCTTAGCTGTGAGAAATAACAGGGAACTAAAACAATATTGTTTTTCAGATACCGTCATCTCATGAGAGTAGAACCTGACTTTTTCACTTTCAGTAACCTTCAGTGCAACTCATACTGTGTCTCTTCTTTTTCTGTATGTAGGTCTTGTCTGCATTTCAATTACATTTTACATAAATTTTACATTTAGATAACAGTAGTTCTTTTAAAATAGTAATAAAATCAAGTCTTAATGAAAGTACTTCAACAGCAACGATGAGAGACAAAAAAAGCCACCCCTACAAAAATCCCCACCAACATTGCTTGCTAAATATGTGTTTTATAAGCATGAATGACTTGCTCCCAAACCTGGTAAATTGGCGTGCAGCATTCGCAACTCCGACAACTCCTTAAGCCTGCCAGTGATTAGAAAAGTCTAAGACATGTTATTCCAATTTGTACTTTTTAGAGAAAGAGTTATATTTCTACTTATGATGAAGAAGACAACAGTAACTTGACTTTAAGAAATGAAATGCCTACCCATCAAGAAGAAAGACAGCCTCCTTAAATTGCCCACCACATGTTGTCAGGCTAATGGCACCATCATAAGATCAGTTTTGGTGCTCCCAGGCCGTGATACTTCCAGAAACTTATTGGTGCCAACTGCAAATACACTGTAGGCAGACAACCTGGCAGTGCCATGGCCAGAAATCAGATGGGATGAAGGTCGGACTGGCCTCTTACTGGAGAGTTGGAAGTGCAAAATTTGGACAGGCACAAGGGCACCTTCTGAAATTTGATTTCCCTATGAAAGTCACTTGGCTTTATCTTCCTTCTGACTGGAGGGCTTTTTTGAACCACAGAATGTTATTCTGTGAAGGAAGGCAGATTGAAGTGATAGTATCAGCAGGAGAAGATAAGGTATTGTCCTATGGACTAATTGCACAGCTTGACTTCCTAATTTGCTAGAACAGATGAAAATTCCCCACAGAGGGAAACACAGGCTTAAAACTACTGGTGGATTTTTCTGCCTTATTTTGAATAATAACATAAAGTAGAGATAATAATGATTTAATTGTAGACAATTTGTTAGTAAAAAAATTAGTTGAACAAATTGTTCTTTCTAGTATATGAGTTAAAGTTAAGATACACACACATCAGGAAAGACTATTCCTGAGGTATTTATGACTGCAGGATTCCTGAAAAGTACTAAAAATATATGAGAAAAACAATTACTTATAAAATCTCTCCTTTTAAATATGGAGCTACACAAGACAAGTGGTCTTTGAGCAAGCTGGTCTAAGATTAAGTCAGCCCTGCTTTGAGCAGGAAGTAGGACAAGGTGATCTCCAGAAGTCCTTCCAACTTATATATTCCTTGGATTCTGCCAAATGTCCACAGTTAATAAGGTCGTGTAAGACTATGTCAGACCTAAAAATCCATCTCAGGTTAAACAGCAGAGATGGGCTCAGACTCTAGTGGAAAGGACTGAAGTCCTCTCTGAACACCACAGCATATCATCATCCCCAGGTTGCTTCATCAGGTCCCAACTGCCTTGTCCCCACTTTTCACCTAACCACGTAACAGCACACGGTTTTAGCTCGCTTCTGTTTATTTCCAAGCACCAAGGGGATGTGCAGACCCTGAACAGCCTGAGCCATAATGTAATAGGATTCTGTGTGACAAATGAAGGCAGTCAGAATGGGGACGCAACAGGGAGCCTGTCCTCCCTCTTCCTCATTTCCCTCCGACACAAACACATCTGCATGAACAAAACAGCACACTTTCATCTGCTGAGGGAGCTGCTCTCTTCTTCTGCCACTCTCCCTCTGCAGACAGATGTGCTTGCATGTGGACTGCACACTGCAGAAGGCAGATGCTGCTGGATTTTAATCCGCATTAATTCTCTGATGGATTAAACCTCAAATCTCTAACCATCTTTCTTAATGTTGCAGTAAGTAACACACATACTGGTTACATTGATTTACAGCTGAAATAAAAGCAAAAGACCATCAAAATGAAACATCTGAAAATCAATTTGTGCCATGAATTGACAGGACACTAAAGCAATCTGGATTATTTTCTGCCACCACCCTTCATCCCTCCCAGTGCCTGCTGAGGCAAAAATCACTAGCTGCAGCAATAAAAGTTGCAGGTACATGTATTACCATTCACCTACCTGTAACCCTTCAATGGCTAGTTTGAGAATAGATGGCGTAAGCTTGGAGGCTTGCTTGAAGGAGAAGTTGCTCCAATCTATAATTAGAATGAAGCCATTTATTTGAAGCTCCTGATCTTCGATGAGCACTTCCAAGGACAGTAGGATAGCCCGAAGAATATCTATGAAGGAGTTCCTAAAGCCAAAACAGAAAAAAAAGAAAAAAAACCAATGGTTGCAGTTATCTTCAAACCTCAAGATACTGAGCTTTGCTGTGGATGGGATATGAGCAAGGGATAGGGATTTATTCTGGTACAATTCTTCTGAAAAGAGAGTTGTTTCAGAGGTGTCACTAAAGTGCTCGCACTCTGAAACTTACATTCCTCTGCTTGATGTGATAAATCCTGCTCACTGATGGATAAAATAAACCCTGAATTAAATCTTTTCGACTCTTCTGGCATTTCTTACAGTAGATTTTAGCTAAGCTACTTTGGAAAAATATTTGTCTGTGGTGAAATGAAATGGATTCAGGCTATCAGTTTAAATCCCTGCTCCTTGGGATATACTTTACCAGTTTTTTTTGTTTGAAGTTTTTTTTTTCACTTCTTTTCACTTCTTTTCTTTCTATTATAAAGAGGAAAATCAGAAAAGGAAATAAATTGGTCTGATACTTATATAAATGGTATGGTTACAACTAGGCTCCCTGCTCGAGTGGAGGGAAGGATCCAAGGCTTTGCACAATGACGTTTGATTGTTGCTTTATTTCTGCAAACCAAATGCAACATGGGAAATAGCTGCATCAACTCAAAATGAGAACTCTTTATTAATTAGCAGCTACCAGTAGGCTGCTGCAAGGCTTCCCTCAGCTCTGGCAGAATAATTAGAAACCATGGAGGCCCTGAAGGAGATAGCAAGTGACAGAATAGAAAATGTTGAAATGATTTCTTTAATGTGAAAGTCTGTACTGGGAAGCCTGGGCTGAGATCTACTTCTATCACATGCATATTACAAAACTGAGAGCTGGACACTTTAATGACGTTTTTCATATTTACACCTGAATAAGCTGCATCAGGCCCTCTCATCATCTGTCCTTCCTGTTAAGATTTTTACAAACAGCAGGGTCTTTTAGAGAGCAAGAAGCAAGGAAATATTCAGAAAGCACAGCCTAACCTTCTGTAAAATGAAATTGTAACATACTGTTATTGCAGTCTGCTTTACTTCTGCATAATTCTCAAATTTTGATGAGGCCTGAGGTCTATTACAGGGAAGGCTCACATCGTGTTCTCCCACGGAGATTTTCATTTAATCCTTTTCTGCTGTTTTCTTTAATTTAATACAAGTCATCTAAGCCTACAAGAATGCTGTTTCAAATTCTGCCTGAGAGAAAAAACCTACATGCAGTCAAAACAAACCTCTCTACCTTCAAGACCTCTACTCCTGAAAGGCAGCAACACATGATAAATTTCTATTAGAAATAAATGGTGAAGTGTTTTTTTTATTCTTTCCCTTTTCTGTCAGCAGGTTTTGAGGGGAAATCTACCTTCCCTGTGCCTTTCTGACAAAATTAGAAGCTTCTCTGGAGTATAATTGCCGAGGCAACTTGCTATACATAGAGCTTAAAGATACTTAACTTAGTTGCTGCTGAATACCAGACCACCTCTCATTTGCAATAATGGGACAACCTTGACCTTTTCAAATTATATAGGGAAGCAGTGCTGAACAGACAAACTGAAGAAGTATTTTCCATAGCAATGTAAGGCGAAGGAATACCTATTGGACTGACATTTCTTTTTAGTCTAAATTTATTTCAAAAATCTGTGATATGAATATACTACCCACTGCCAGGCTGAAATGGGTGATGACTTTCAAGCAGCAGCAACAAATTACTAGACTTTTGTTGATGAAAAAAGCAATTGCAACTCCAGACCATATCTACTTAATATATCCTACAATACTCTACCCCAGCATCCCTGTTCAAGGTGGTTAGCCTTCCACAGGAGGTGCCCCATGGGTACTCCCAGAGGTGCTCAGTGGCTCCAAAAGTGTCCTCAGCACACATGCCAACCTTCTCCACTCTCTTGTTGGCATCAACATAGAATGATATTATCATTCATCAATGGGCTTTCTGACTAGATTGCAGAAGATCAACTAATCCAGAGCTCAATTTAACTCCAGATTACCAATTCTTAATATGAACCTAATTCTAGTTTTATGAAGGTGTGAAAACAGGGTCACAGTGTGAGCAGAACAGGTTTCAACCCTCACTGTGGGAATAAGTTTTCTTAGCAGAACATTTAAATTCATCTTCATGGTCCTGCTACTTCTGATGCTTTTAAAAGCAGTGTAATGATTTCAATAGGGCTGTTTGGAAATTATGCATATAAGGTATTTTCTGTAGTCCACTTAAACTCTAAATCACTATGAAATATTTTATTTGACTGAGCGTAAAATCTTCCTCTCAGACTCTATGCTGAGGAATTGCAATCTTTGTTTGGATGTCTATATAAATTACCAGGTTACCAAGCAATTATTCACCTGTACTTCCCTGTACTTTCAGTAGAAATTGTTTTCCTGGGAGACATGGCACCCAGTTTTATTAGTGTGTAACTAATGTGGCTGTCCCCTGCCCAGATCCCACCCTTCCTCTATGTATTTGCAGTTTTAAGATATGGTGTAGGAAATAACTCAAAGTGAACATAAAGATGTTTTTCAGATGAGTACAAGGAGACATGGAAGCTGCACACAAGTCCTCCAGGTGGGCTGTCCTCAGGCACAGTGTTTGGTGAATGCAGAGCCTGGACAAAAATCACACAGAGTGCCACTTGAGGCTGAAGTCCTCTGCTCCCTAATCTTGAGGCTTTGAGACAAATCATTCAGCTGTGTGACTGATTTGCATCCAAATAATTTTTTATGCATGAACACAGAACCACTTACTATTAGTCCATCTCTTTTGTTCCTTTGCTTAATGTTCCACTCCCTTCTCCAAACCCCCTCCCCACCAGTTTAACCCTCTCTCACACACATACACAAAAAAGTGAAATAAACTGCAATTACACAAAGGGAAATGTGTAAGGTGCTGTAAGGATTCAACATGAAGCCTACTGAAGTGAGTCATTAATGAGTTACAAAAGATTTGCACAAGCCCCAGAAAGACAAAAAGGAGGAGGGAGGGAGAGTGCCTATCTTCCTTGACTGAATGGAAAGGTACCACAAAAGAGGCTCTTCAAATATCCTTTGGAAAATGGGAAGCTAGCCCAACAGAAGCTAGTGGTAAGGAACAATAATGTCAAACAAAAATGAAGCTAAGGGATTTGGTGGAGAGATTAGCCAAAGGCATAACATGAAAATAAATAAGAAGAAATTACTTAATTATAAGAGGCGTAAGCAGGCTGTGAGAGAATCCAAAGGCTCAGTGGAGTACCAGGGTGCAAAGGGAACAATTAAAGGGGATAAAGACATTTCAGGGAAATTAAATGATCTATTTGCATGTCTCTGCCACCAATCATTTTGAAGAGGTATGTGGATAATAAAGCTCAGGGACTGTTGGAAAATAAGGTGTCAAATAAGACACATGGCAAGAAAGTGATACATTTTGGGGAAGATAGTATCAGTAAAGGCTTTTTCCATTACCTTCTCTGAACAGTTAGGCACAGACTCTGTTATAGGCATGTTAGTGAAATTAATTAAATTATTCAGATGGTTAAAATTATGAACATATAGAAGTACTGGCAGCTGGAGCCATTAAGATTTCCTGGTAGTAAGCAAAAACAGCCATTAAAAATCCTGACTGTCCCAGAAGACAGCAGACTAACAAAGTTTGGACCAGTGCCGTTGGAAGTTGCAGACAACTCAGCTTAACATCCCTAAATAAGTAACTGGTAAGAGCCCCTCTCCTGTAATACTTAGAAGGTGGCTTAGTTAAATGCAAATGCAGATAAAAGAGGTTTCTTTACTTGTTAAAAGCAATGAAATTATCCAATTTTAAATGAAACAAAGAAGTGAAGCTACACCATCATATTTAACATAAGCTAACAAAAGACTAAGCTATATAAAACTGGTTTCATTCATTCTGTTTGAACACCTAAGAAGAGAAGAGAGTATAGTACACCTCATGACAAAGCTACTGCCAAAGTCAGATAATAGTTAGCAAGCTGCAAACATGGCACTGATACAAATCAGGTAAGGGACCACATCTTGCTTTGTTCCCTCCCCTCACAGTAAATCAACGGAGAGCAGAAATGCACACTTAGCACCAGCCAGGAGAGAGCTGGCACTGCCCTGCAAGGACAATTCCCAATGGGTGATGAGGATGTGAAAAGAAGGACCAGAAAAACATGTTCAGGTTGCCCTAAATTATTTGAGTTAATTGCAGTTGAAGAAGCTGTAAGGAAGGGCCTAGGATGGAAGACATGAACAACAAACAGATTGATGCTGGTGGAGGAAGGAGTACCTAGGAAAGAACATTTTGAATTGCTTTCACATGCAGAAAAGGTATGGTGCTCATGGAAAAGCCCTTGGAATCCAGTTAGCCAGGGTTTGAACAGGTGTTCATAAATCATACAGAGTCAGTAATCACAGAAACACAGAATCACAGAATATTAGGAGTTGGAAGGGACCTCAAAAGATCTTCCAGTCCAACCCACCTGCCAGAGCAGGATCACCTAGACTTGGTTGCAGAGGAACATATCCAGCTGGGTCTTGAATGTCTCCAGGGAAGGAGACTCCACAACCTCTCTGGGCAGCCTGGTCCAGTGCTCTGGCACCCTCACAGTAAAAAAGTTTTTCCTTATGTTCAAGTTGAACGTCCTATGCTCACATTGCCCCTTGTCCTGACACTGGCTATCACTGAGAAGAGCCTGGCTCCATCCTCCTGACACTCGCTCTTTACAAATTTATAAACATGAATGAGGTCACCCCTCAGTCTCCTCTTCTCCAAGCTAAAGACACCCAGCTCCCTCAGTCACTTCTCATAAGGGAGACGCTCCACTCCCTCAATCATCTCTGTGGCTCTGCCGGTGGACTCTTTCAAGCAATTCCCTGTCCTTCTTGAACTGAGGGGCACAATTTATTTCAGCAGGTTCTCCTTTTAGATCATGAAGTGTTTTTAAGAAACCTCCGACTTCTGATACTGTGTTCTTTGAAAACATCTGGGTTTTTTAAATGCGTGTGTTTATTTTAGAAATTTAAAACTCACCT